CCCTGATCATAAATTTATGATAATGTTATGTAAGTCGTTAAAAATCTTCTCTGATAATAAATATCGCAAAAGAAACTGATATATCCTATGTAAAAAAAAATATCGTTATTTCAAAAATAAACACAGACATAGCTTACATCTACTCCATATCTTGACCCAGTTCTGTTTGATATTGCAGTTTGGAACACAAAAGCTTTTTATATGCTTCAGAGGTTTTGATACAATACAAAAGGTGTGTTTTATTGCATTTAAAGACATGCATTTGATATATTGCAGTCCAGAAAAAACGTTTATAAGGGTGTGTTTTATTGCATTTAAAGACATGCATTTAATATATTGCAGTCTAGAAAAACGTTTATATAGGTGCGTGTATTGATTTAACGATAGAATTTTCGAATTTTAACCATATCAGGATATCAGAATATTAAAGGAGCTGGGTCAAAAAAAAAAAAAAATTCCAAACAAGGAACATTGATACGGTACACGTATACTTTATATCTCTCAATTTGTTAGTTATTTTCAAATCATTTCTATTCATATAATCATTTACAACTGAACTCGTATGTAGCGTTGAAAATACCGCATAACGGGTATTTTCTGCGGTTGGAAATTTTTTCGATTTGACCCCTGAAAGTTATCAAATTAATTTCTACGTTTTCAATTTCTGCGGATGTATTTTACGGCAAAAAAGTATGGAGGGGATAAAAACACCAAATTCTAAGGATTGACATGTTTACGTTTTATAAATTCATTTAAAGACGTATTGATCAACGGTGCATGAGAACTGGTATACTTAACTCTGCTATCTTTCATGTAGTCTTCGTAAACTATTTACAAGGTTGTTGGGTTTTTTTTGTTTTTTAATCTCATACATGCGTAAGACTAATTTTTTAAAGAGGTTTTGAAATAACATAAAATCAGGTCGAATGATCTGCCATTTATTTAAAACAATTAACACACTCATTAACAATAAAGTTTATTTAACAATAAATGTTTTACACTACTTCTTTTAAATAACCTATTAACAGGGACGTATACAATGTGTATAGGTCCCTGCTATTAATAATTACGCATATCACTGACTGTGCTTGGGATGATTTGTTTACGTAAACACGGACATGACCTTCGAGTGCATAGTCAGCACATTGTCGTAATATGCTGAGAGTAATATTTGCATGGTTGTGCCCCCCCCCCCCCCGAAAAAAAATTAAACTGTAATACATGTGGCTTCACACGGCCTGTTGTGTCTTCATAAATGAAAAAAAAATTACCAAGCCCTACAACTTAGTCCGAAAAAAGTGACCAGATATAGATATTATACAATTATTGCTGCTTTTTGAGGTCAATATGATGATTTAGATACCTGAGGAGTACAATATTCACCGAGCCCGAAGGGCGAGGTGAATATTGTACTTCGAAGGTGTCTAAATCATCGTATTGGCCTCAAAAAACAGCAATAACTGTTTTATTATATGATTATCTATTTTTGGTCCAATGTTGAATAAATAATTCCTTATATTGACCTGGAAATAATTCCTTACATTGACCTGGAAGGTCACGTGCAGGTCAATATAACGTAGTATTTTTTTCTAACATTGTTGGATCTCAGCCAATCAGAGAGATGGGAATTATTCAATTATATAATACTGCTTGATATTTTTGATTTTATTGAAATTAAAATAAATTTTAATATTGATCGCTTAGTATTTTAGGTACATATAATTTGTGACATTACCTACCAAATTTCTATCAAGTACATATATAACCTCGACCTTTTTAAGCAAATTTATTTTACATTTAGGGAAAACGTAAAATTAGGACTTAATTAAGTTAGTGGTCTTACCTTAATTAAAAGTCAAAATTTAATATAATATTTTTATAATTATTCATGAATATCAGCCTCTGGAGCTATATGAATGACATTCTATGGTCTGTTTAATTTTTTGTCAGCAATGCCATCACTAATCGTCGCTAAATTTAATTAACTGTGTGACAAGTTTAGCGTTTATTGTAAATCGCTTCTCTCCCTTGTTGCGTGACGTCATAAGAGACAACGAGAAAATAGAAAATACACAATATATTGCCGTTTATGGAACATATTGTTGGCGAGATGGTGCTATGTGCGCTATTAATTGTACCAATAAATCGGGGCAGGACCTTAGTATATATTTATTTCCTAAGGACCTGAAATTGAGGAAAATATGAACATTAAAATTGAAAAGAGGTGGTTTTGAACCCAAACTACATGCGAAGCTTTCTGAGCGACATTTTTACATGAATCAGTTTACGGTTTAAAAATGACTCACGAAGTTCTTGGTTTTATATCAAAATTTATATTGTATATTAGTTTGTCAGTTTGGGTATTTATAGCCGCAATACTGTAAGGAGGGAAAGGTTTTTCGGCTTTTCGTTACTACACAAGATGGAAGAATAAATTAATTTATCTGTTCTTCCCGAGGCGCTGATATACCCATCCGACAAATCTGTGATAAACGAGATATCTGTAGAGTATAGGGAACATGGGGAATGAGAAAGGAAATACCATTTGCATGTTTTTTTGTTTTGTTTTTGTTTTTTTTTTTTTGTTTTTTTTTTTTTTTTCATTTTGTACATCAATTAATGTTTTTCTCTTTCAGATAAATGAGAAAAAAAATTGTTTAGCATGGTGAAAGAATCAATATCCAAGGGGTGGGGGTGGAAGTGGGGGTGTTGGCGCAGACTGAATATGGGGGAGATAATTGACGAGCCAAAAAGATGCTTAATAAAGTTTGACAATCAAAAAAAAAAAAAAAAAAAAAAAAAAAACCAAACTCTAAAGACCTAAAAGGGGTGGGTGGAAGTTGTCTTTCTGACTAAAAAAAATGGATATTGAAGTGTGGGAGATTGAATGAACTGTAACAAAACGAGGAGGGGGTTTGTTACCAGCCTTTCATGGAAATTTCCATTTTTAATTAACGAGGGATTCTTGTCTGCTTTCTGACTACATGAAATATTCAAAGTATATTTGCTTATATGTTTTATATATTTAGATGTAAGAGATTTAAAAGATCATATTTTTCTTTCCTCATCACAATTGTACAACTTTAAATAGAAATGGTAACTGAGTTTGAAATCTAGCAGGGACTATATTTTTGGCGGAATGGCGGCGTATGAAAATATCTTCTTTTCTGCCTCTCAAAATAATTATTAGAACTATGAATTTAGTTATATTTTTTACACAATCAAAGACTTGGAAAATTTTTAAATGTAAGTTAAATTAATAATAAGGGACTTAAGTTTTAAAATATATCAAATAAATATGAATTTTCAAACAAACTACAATTATGTTAGCTTTTAAAAGCTTCCAATCTAAGTTCATATTTGAGCCAAAAATCCGTAAAAAGTGTTTTTTCTCCCTTAGTAAACGGTCAAAACTTTTTGTTTTTATATCATTTTGTATCTTTATGTGACAACTTTACCATATGTGAAAATAAGAAAAATTTAAATATAGGAAGGATATAAAAATAACTAAAATATCTTAAAATTTAAAAAAAAAAAAATAGAGAAAATTCGGATTAGCCAATATCCATTTTAGTTAAATTATTTATGTCAATTTGGTAATAGCGTCTTATAGACCCTATATGGTAATATCTCTTTATGCAAAAAGAAAAACATTTAATTTATTGAAATAGAAGTAGGCACCGCATGATTGGCAACAGTAATTTTTTTATTCTTAATGTCCAGGGAAAAGGTACTGACCTTGACCTGACCTTGCCTCTAATATAAAACGGTCAAACTTAATCTAACTGATACCATCACTTAGTGATACTGTCTTCTTGATTCTGTGAAAATTTCATTGATTTTCAAATATAAGAAATAAGTGTTCTTATGAGAAGAATCCCTCCTTTACATTACTTCTAGTAAAAAGTAAGAAAATAATTCTTGGAAAAAGTCAGGGGAGCACCCCCTCCCCAATACTTCGTGTCTGTAAAGCATTTTCATCGGATATTATACAGACTTGGTGATTTTATTTCTTGTTAGAATATATAGTAAAATATCCGTCTCAGAAATGACTTACTCATGAATGTGTTCATTTACCTCAAGTTGTCGTTTTTCTAGAATACATTCATTGTAAATTGTTTCCAAAATATATTTATTCGAACAGTTTAGGTAGGGGGTATATACTTTTTTATTAAAAAGAAAAATAAGTAACGTCAGGTGCTGTGCATTATTCTGAAATATTGAGAGCTTGGGTAAAAGGGATTAAATTGTGATCCTAATTTTAGAATAACATCTTTAATATTATCGGTTTCTGATTTTGATTGTCTCTTATATTGTCTCACAAAAACATGATTGTGTTTTAATTTTGTTCTAGTTAGCACTAGTATAATTTTACTTCGAAATCTACGTAATTGCTGATTATAAGACTACTTCTTTTGTTTATCACAGATAAAACTATTTCTTTTGAGCAACATATTTTCATTTATCAGTTTATTTTGAGCCCATTATAATTATGTCTGCATGTGGATGAATTAATGAACTTAAAACAGCAAAAGATAACCTTTGATAATTTTTATTTTTGATTTTTTTTTTTAAATTAAGTCAATATAAACTCGATATGGAAATAGATATAAACATCTTAGTATTTATATAAAATATAATTATATGTCGTATATATAGCGCGAAACGTCCCAGCGCGAAAGGTCTTTTGGGGCGAATGGTCTTGGTGCGAACCGTCAAATGGAGCGAAACGTCCTATTACCCGGTGGGTGCTCTACCAAGTGAGCTATCCAGGCTGATATCCACGGCCCAAACCATTACATAACATTACCGACCAAACTGACTTAATTCAATTTTATAATTTTCAATCAGATAAACTTGTCCCCTTTTAAACAACCTGTAATAGGCGGTTTTGTTTGGGGGGCTCAAAACGCCAGGGTACAAATTCAGGACGAGATGAAAATTCAAAAGAAGTTCCGATTGTTTTCGGAAAGCCTTGTACTTTTATATAAACAAGAAATCAATGAGGAAATATCCGTAAATAAACATTGACTAAATACATGTAACCGACAACTTGTCACACGACTTGTGTTCTAGCCTATGTAAGTATAGCAGTTTGCACGATTTTTGCAAAACCTTGTTTCTGCTGACAGTCCCTTTGACGAGTGCAAAAGTATTTTCTTCTGAAACCCCGTAAGTATAACACGGTCATGGAAACTTAATCTGTATACACCTGTAAAGCTGTATGCTTTACTTCCTTTTTCGACTGTTTACGTCGTCTTTATCATTTGCACGGGTATATGCACAAAACAATAGCACTGTTCTTTTAAAGCTATTTCGTAAGAGATGGGGAATACCCCTTCCAATTTTTGAAGAAGAAAAAAAAAACTAGGACCTTTACCAGTTTACATTTTTTTGCGCTTTTTATATGCATACATTTACGAGGTAAATCTTTTCACTTTTATTTATTATATGCTTAATGACAACCGTCATTGAATAATGTTTTTGTTTATTTATATTTATTTTTTTTTAATTTTAGACTCACAATCTAAGTGCTTTTGAAACACTGTACTTTTTGTAATTTGTAATACTGAAAAATAGGAATCGGTATTAACGGAACTAGCTGCAGATCTGTAGCTCACTGGTCCGAAAAAATTGGGATGGGCAACTATAAGTGAACTAGAAAGCTACAGGTCCATCCATGATTGAATAAAAAAAAAAGGACATATAAAATGAGCACACTTGGGGAGTAATATCTCCTGATGTTTAAACTGTCACCTCAAAATATTTAATACCAAGCTTACATGTTCCTGTCAATCCCGACAAAATTTTTGGCTACTTCTAAGATAAAATGTACATTCATCTCAGCCCTAGCCCAAGCATGCCTTAGTGGGCATGAGATTGACAATAAAAATTTTGGCATATTTATAGCTGCCATTTTTGAATGGATGTATACCGTCAACAACCAAATTTTTACTGCTGTTTGTGCCAATGTAATTTTGTGGTTAACACCAACTTGTATTCAGTTTAGTGAACTGACATGCTGACAAAGTAATTGCTTATGGGGATGTAAATTTGTGGAAAAGGATTAACCATAAAATCCATGAATATTGGTACTCAGGAACAATGACTGAGCAAATCAATAGTACCTTCATTGATAAGTGAATCAGATGTGTCTCAGTTGAAAAAATTGGTCAAAATGAAATGACTAAGTGCTAATAAAGAGTCATTGAAAGGGGGGTTGGGGATGCTGCATCTACATTAAGTGAATAATAGTGTGTCCAAGTACCTGTAGATTTTCTCTGCAGGGATGTCTTGCTCGTTCTCTATAGTACCATGGATGGACAGTCTATTGTCGTATAGCGTCAGTAAACAGCTTGTACAATGTCACAAAATGTATGGTGGCTGAAATTTTTTGAAATATATAACCAGTGGCTGCTACATGTAAATTTTTAAATCACCAGAAATCTTCTTTATAATTACTATGCTTAATAATTACTCGTAATACTCTCAGGGTATTTTAGGGGTCATAGAAGGCCTGTATTCTGCCCCATTCCCAAGGTAAAAAGTATGTGTTTTTCCCAATTTCATAAAAGAAAATTACCAAAACACAATTGAAACAAACAAAAATGGTAAAAAGGATTCCAAAATCAGTAACTTGTATATCAGGAGTGGTGTTCAAATAAAATGTAAAAGGCATACTCCAAAAACTGATTGACTGAATGTAAATTAAGTCAATAAATTCTTTGCAAATGAAAAAAACCCCAACCTTTTATTTGAATTTATTTAGAAAAGGTTAAATATGATATTATCCCTAATTTCAACCAAGTGTCACTATTTTTCCCAAATGGAAAGACCAAGGCCCTTGATTTTAAGACCTAAGAAAAAACCCTGATACTGTAGCAATAAGATTGCATTTTAGATGCACTTTGCACAAGTCTGTCAAAAATTTACTTATTAATTATTTCTTCTAAACAATTTTGTAAGAAATTTGGTTTTAAGAAATTGTAACACTGAAAAAATGACATCAAAGTTTTGTCTTTATCACAGTTGAGGTGGGCGTGTTTACACTGATCATCATGACAACAGAGGGAGTGTTTGCTGGTTGTCAGGTAGTCCTTGACCTCAGCACCAGTGTAGGTTTCAAGAAGAAACAGGAAGTCAGGAAAACCATCACAAACAATGGTGGAATTATCTCGTACATTGTCACAAAAAAGGTAAGAAGCATATTTTTATAATTATTTAAATTAAAATTATTTTTTGCAAGGTTAAAATATCTACACTTGTAAAAGTGTTGAAGTGGTGTACAAAATTGACTGTTTTAAATGAAGCAGAAAGGTTTAAAAGTTTTTAAAATTCTCAAAAAGTACATGCATGTATTTTGCATATGAATTGGGTCATTAAGCGGCCCCATTTATAGACAACTGAGAGCCCTGATGAAGGGCCGCTATAAGCTAATAAGATTTACGCATTCTTAATGCCGACTTTTCTTACAGAGTACCCATGTTGTGCTCAATGATCCAGAAAAAGCTGATGTCAGCTACAAATGTAAAATGGCTGAGAAGTTCCGAATCCCCGTGGTGTCCCTCGATTTTATTTTTGACTGTGTTGACCAGGGGAAGCAACTCAACACTGACAATTATCTCCTAGTGGGTAAAACGAAGGCCCAGGAATTCAGCAGCGGCAAAATTATGGGTAAGGATGAGAAAAAATAAAAATAGAATCTCAACAGCTGTTTGAGACTTTCTGCAGTATAAGGAAGGTTCGTCGGCCATTGTTTGGCTTTACATCACTTTGAGAATGCTGAGTCATCATTAATTAATTGTTGGTTGAGAGCTGTAAAATTTAGACCTATACATAGCATTTAATTATGAGGAAGGAATTCAAATAGGGAAGTTGTACAAAGACTGAAATGCTTTTAGAATTATATTTTTTGTGTCAGGTTCTTTCTTGTTCTAATTATTTATTCATGAACAAGTTCATTGATGATTATGAAAGTCGATCTGTTATGACATTTTAATTGATGATTAGTGCATTGCACATTAACAACATAAGCAACATTTACATAAACTTAAACATTTTTGATACATCTGTAAAGAACTTTTAAAAAACAAAGGTTATTGATTAGATGTTTATTTTACAAAATGAATTTTAATTTCTATATCAATGAATTAATTTCAAATTGGTAAAAAAAAAAGGATAACATCCATTTCGCAGCTAGGTTAAGGACTCCCACATATACGTCAGCCTATGCAGAGGTTTGGTAAAGTTATTATGACGTCACGTTAAAACAATACAAATGAATCTCGATGAATAAATACCATATTTTCTTTTTAAAACACACTAAATACTTTCGTTTATCATAAATATTATAAAGATAAATGGATGTGCAACCTATCTTCAAGTTGCCATAATAGCACTTAGCGTATATAGAATGAAAGCATGAAGCTTGATCTCGCTGTACTTACTGAGATGACGTCATTTCTTAGTTTGACACGCAATTTCTCTGTACTTGAGGCGTGGATCAAGCTTTTATTGTAGCTTGTAGAAATGAAAATAAATACGAAACACGTGTAGTCGGACCAAAAGAGAGAAATATTCTGAAGTATATTAATCCACATTTTATTGTCAAATTAAATTGATAATGTGTAGACTTTATATAAAGCCGTAGGGAGCACATTTGTACAGTAACGTGCTAGAATGACAGGTCCAGCCCCTCGAAAATATCAAAAGTTCAACGATATCCGCTTCACTATAAATTCTGAATTTTTAAACACGTATAGCTATTATTCCTGCTATTCTGAAAAGTGCTGGGAGCTGGTTTGCATTGTTGATTTATTCCGTAATGTAACATTATTCCAATGCGAATTACATTTTTGACTGGAGTTTATAGAAAGACGGCTAAATTTTAAACAATTCCCGAGCATGAGGAAGTTGCTCCCGGCACTTTTCGTGTTAAGGAATTTGTCTCAAAGAAAACAGAACAAATCTTATAGCCGAAAAATGCCCGTATATTGTTGAACTTTTATGACCTTTGTAGTAGTACATATATGTTCTAATTTTAAAACTGTCACGTGACAAACAGCTGATGTAAGCGATGTCGCTTTGGCTGAACTCAGCAGAGTCCCGATATATACAAGTGCAAACACCACAAATCACATTTATCAAAACTAATGCTGTTAAAAAAAATATTAAAATTGTATTCATTTTCCCTGAATATATTAAGGCGTATATTTCATGGGCGTCCTTAACCTAGCTGCGTTTTTTTTCTTTTTGAAAAGCTGGGAAATCTGGACCTAAACCTGAGGGGAAAAAGAAGAAAACGGTGTCTAGTTTTAATCCAAAGTCGGTGAGAGTTTGGCAGGAGAGGGATAAGAACATGCCCCAGTTTGATGACGGAAGTGAATTGGCCAAATTTGCCATGCTTCAGGTCGGTTATACACTATCGATCATGTCTTTGGTTAAAAAAAATTCCACTGTTGAATATTTTTATGGTACATTTAGCAAATTTTTAACAAGTACTAAACTGCAAAAAATTGAAAGATCTTTATATGTTTCTGATCATGTTTGATTGATACCAGAGAATTATTATTTTTAGACAAATTGATCAAAATTGTGAATAATCTAGGATCCTTACAGATATTTATCTGTTTTACAGAAATATGACAAGAAAACACAAATAACACAGTTCTGTGTGTTAGAGATTCATGCATCCAGAAGAGTTATTGCCCTTGACAACAAGGAACAGTCCCCTAGGTTCTGTATTTGCTCTCACCTTGGCAGTGTGCAGGAAGTACAGGTGTGTTACATATGAAATAAATGAACATATTGAATGTGACAAAATATTACATTTGAATTTGGCCAATGGGAGACTTTTGGGTACATATATAATCATGTATTTTCTTAATTTTCAAGGACAAGCCAGGTAGTGGCACTAGAGAGTTCCGTTTTGTACAGACATCGGAGGAAGCCCTGAGTGTGTTTAGTGCCCTCTATAAACAGATGACAGAGTCCCCTAATGGCATGACCATCTGTCGGAAACCCCCATGTCAGAATATAGGATCAAAGAAATTCCAAAAGGTAGAGAGAAACAGGAGATATTGATACAGTATACAATATATCTTTTAACTTTATAGATTGTTACATCATTCCTAACCATATGCATATGATCATGTCATTTTACAAAAATATGAAATACAGCTGACCTTATACATGTATGTAGTTGTGAAAATATCAAGCAAACAATTATTACTTTGAGAATGAATTTATTCAGAGTACTATTATGATTTCTAGTGTAAACTATGTGGTAAATTGAATCTTTGAATTAATTTTTCTTCCATAACATTCAGATGATGGTGGAGTATGGTATGGAGGATACAGAGTTATCTACCCCTGTGAAGGAGTTGATGCATCACATCTGGCAGGAAGCTGGGGGCGAGATAGAGGAAATCTTAAGTAGCCCACTACAGTCACTGAAACTGGACCAGGTCAGTAGGTTAGGTCACTGCTATACAGTTACTGAAACTGGACCAGGACAGTAGGTCACTACAATAAATGAAACTGGACCAGGTCAATAGGTCACTACAGTCACTGAAACTGGACCAGGTCAGTAGGTCACTACAATAAATGAAACTGGACCAGGTCAGTAGGTCACTACAATAAATGAAACTGGATGAGGTCAGTAGGTCACTACAGTCACTGAAACTGGACCAGGACAGTAGGTCACTACAATAAATGAAACTGGACCAGGTCAATAGGTCACTACAGTCACTGAAACTGGACCAGGTCAGTAGGTCACTACAAATGAAACTGGACTAGGTCAGTAGGTCACTACAGTCACTGAAACTGGACCAGGTCATTAGGTCACTACAATAAATGAAACTGGACCAGGTCAATAGATCACTACAGTCACTGAAACTGGACCAGTTCAGTAGGTCACTACAATAAATGAAACTGGACCAGGTCAGTAGGTCACTACAATAAATGAATCTGGACCAGGTAATTGGTCACTTCAGCCACTGAAATGGTATCAGGACAACATGTCACAGCAGTCACTGAAAATGGAATCAGGTGAATAGTTGCTACAATATTGACACTGGACCTGGTCAATACACTCTCTGAAAAATGAATAAGGTCAATAGGCCACTACAGTTGGTGAAACTGGACCAGGTCAAGAGGTCACTAAAGTTACAAGAAATGGACCAAGTAAGTGAGTCATACAGTCACCAGGAGGTTAGGTCACTATAGTCACTGGACCAGGTCAGTAGGTCACTACAGTCACTGGACCAGGTCAGTAGGTCACTACAGTCACTGGACCAGGTCAGTAGGTCACTACAGTCACGGGATCATGTCAGTAGGTACCATAAGTACTGAAACTGGACCACACCATTAGCTCCATACAGTCACTGAAACTGTGACAATAGATTTAGTGGTTATTTAATAGTACTCAGTTTCTGTAGTCTTGCAACAATTAGTCAAATATCACTTGACAAAGCAACAGATATTGTCATAAAGTAAATCTGACATCCCTATTTCTAATTTGAAAATGTTAGGTTAACTTTTCAAGAAATTCCACAGACCAGTTAAATGAAAAATAAATGACGTTCATTGTAGGTGGAGAAGGCGACGGCCATTTTGTCAGAGATGAAGGAACACCAATCAGATGAGAGTAAGCTACAGAGTCTGTTTACAGAATTCTACTCCACCCTCCTCCACAATCCCCAGCACAAGACAATGACCTTCACCATGTCGTGGCTGGCCAGAAAACTGGACCTTTGTCAGGTACAATTTTTAATTCAAATTTAATGCTTGTTCTTGATATGGAATTTCATTGTTCCAATATTCTGACGTGGAAGTTATCGATGATTTTGTTCAATATGTAAGAAAAAGACAACCATTTACTGTAGAAATTACTTCTGGATGCATGTTGTGAATTGATATGAAACTGATTTGCAGGAAATTTTAAGTATAAAAAATTGCATGGTATTCAGTTTACTTGTATATTTTTTAAAGCTGACTTTTATGTTATTTAAGAACATTACATATTTCATTAAATTTATAGGCCAAGATTTAATATATAGATAGTATTAGAAACTCACAATAAAACAAGCTAGACATGCAGGGATGCCTGCTAAAGTTTTTAGTCTTGCTAAAAAAGATCTTCTAGCCCGAGAAAATAACAGTGATCATGAGACTGGGACCAGGACATCATAACTTTGATCCCAAATCAACTGACTGATGAATTTTGCCCCATGGCTTGTTATCCCCTTGCACTGGGGGGGGGGGGTATAGTTATGCAATTGTTTGTGGGTATGTAATGTCCAGTGCAAAAATGGAAGTGACGTAATTTGTATCAAGATCGATGTTGAATGCTGCCTTGATTTATGGATATGCTCTTTGCAAGGGGATGCTCCACTTTGCAGTATCCTTGTTATACCTTGCTACAGGTGCTATCAGTTGATTAAAGACTGGCTTTTTAAAAAGTGTACATGTATTTTGAATATTGGAAATTTTAAAACATCCAGCCTGGCATTGATAAATGCAAAAGTGTTCATCTATGGCAGTGCGTCTCGGGTTGTTAGATGCACTGTTATTCACACACTGATTTAGATGAATGAATTTTTGTCTTTTAGCTGATTAAGGATGTGGTGTCAGTAAGTGAAGGCACAGACTGGTCTACGCGGGGGAACACGGAGGCCCAGTATAAAGCCCTCCGATGTCAGATATCACACGTCCCCGGGGGTCTCCCAACACCAGTCAAAAATGTCCTCAATCTGAAAGAGTAAGTACAAACCTGTGATATAAGTCAGATACAAGTATGCTGTTGAGTCTGATACAGACAGTCAAACATGTCTTTAATACATGTATTAAAGAGTTATATTAGAGGGGCTGCATGGTTTCCTGTAACAATAACTAATTACTGGTTAGCTTTGAAAAACAAAAATATCATTCCATATATAATAAACAACATCTAATTTCCTTTGATATAAACTTTTATCCTTGAATAGTAATAAGAAAGTATCAAAAAGTAACCTAAAAAAATACCAATTACATGTACATGGATAAAGAATTTTGTGGGAATATGTTGAGTATCTAAAGCAGTTAAAAAAAAAAAAACATAATGTGCCATTACAAAGCACATTTTTAGAGTATTGGATAAATTGTGGCTGTTATATTGCATTCTGAAAATAGAGCTCAGGGATAATAATAGAACAACCAATAAAGTGAAATAATGTTTTTATAATCAAGAGCTTTCATTGAATCAACCAACAATCAACTGATTTTGGATTATAAGATTAGAACAACACTACTAGGGAATTCATATTCAGTTGCATGAGTATGAATTATCAGATCCCAGATATCAATTATACCTGATGCTCTGCATGCCTAGGAAATAATGGATATCTTAATATGAAAGTTTAAGAACTCACAGAAATTAGCTTTTAAATTTAGAAAATGTATAGAATTCAGATATCACTTGTACACTGGCTTAGTGGTCTGTCCTAGCTGAACAGAATATCAAAGGAAGTTAAAACATATCATGTTCAGATTTGATAAACACAGGGGCCTAATACATAAAGATATTGTTATCCATGGTGAATAGGGGCTGATTTGTTGTACAGAAAACATCTTCATATTTCATGTACGTATTGCTTTCTCTTTATTTCAGTGAAGATAAGTTGAATGTTCAGAATGTTTACGCCGTTCATCGTCCTGGAGAAAGTGAGGTGTTCCGGTCAGATTTGGATCATAGACTTCTCTTTCATGCATCCAATGTGGAGAATTTTGTTGGAATTCTATCCAGGTAATGAATGCTAGGCATTACCTTTGATGCCAATTGATGCATTTTCATTTGTGTAATGTTGATGTATAACATCATTGTGATTGATAGACATGGGATAGAGTGAGTCTGCCTGCCATTGATAAAATCATTCTAGATCTTTATTTTGCTTTATCAACAATTTAAACTTAAAAATGAGCCCAGTTATTGACTTTCTTGAATGGATGTTTAACAGAGGTCTCTTGATGCCAAAGGTCGTTGTCGATGACTACGGAGGGAAGAGAACAGACCCAGGAATGCTGGGAAATGGAATTTATTTTGCCAGTTCTGCCAGGTCTGTCTATATATAAGTAATGACAACGTCAAATTTATTTAAAAACAAGACATTTTACTTGAAATGATGTATTTAAATTAAAACCTGTGTTACCTGAAATATTGTGAACAGGTTCAGATCGCAACATTATTATATTTTAATGAGTAAAAATTGAGAAGGCTTTGTTATAGACAGACAAACATAGAATTATAGGGGGAAAAAGGGGAATTTTTAAAATTTTTCACAGTGAAAGTGTATTATTGTTCCTTTTAATTGAAAACAATGAGAACTTGGAACAGTAAAACAGTAAAAGTTATATAAATTTATCTATTTGCAGTAATGTAGTCTAATGGTTAGACAGATCAACTGCCCAACTTTTGTAAAATAATTTTTTTTTTGTACAGTATTAATAATAAAAAAGTGGATAATTATAATGTCTAATACAATTCAATATGTATGTTTTCATCCTTTGTCAAGCACAAGCATAAAATACTCAAAGCCAAGTAAAACCCGGAACACACGAATGATGCTAGTCAATCTGGTGGCACTGGGGAATACAATGGACGTCTACACGTATCAGAGGGACCTGACAGCTCCACCTAGTGGCTATGACAGTGTTCACGGAGTGGCAGCTTCTGAGGGTGTAGAATCAGACTTTAAGGTGAGTTAATTGAGGAGATCTCCATCCCAAATTAATGTACTTGAGAAGGGATAAGGATCCTGTTGTGAAGTAATTTTAGTATGTTTCTTGTAATGGAGTGATTGATGTTTCAAGGCATACACAAACAAGTGACAATGGTAATTACAATAATGGTACATGTATAACCAAGAAAAAACAGACCCCCCCCCCCCCCAAAGACCCCCTCCCCCCAAACAGCCTAACCCACCCTAACATACCTAGAAAACATTTTATTGAAAATAGGATGAAGAAAAATAAAATGACAACCAGATATAGCTTGATATTAGGATTGTACAAGTCAATAGTAAGATGACTTCAATATGAATATGCACACAATACTGTGAAACTCTGTGCTTGATCTACTGAACTTTGATACTGTGTTCCCCTTGAGTACATTTGTACCTTTTATGATAGGATGATGAGTATGTAGTGTACAATACAAACCAGCTGATGTTGAGTTATTTAGTGGAGTTTACCGTGGGAGGGGAGATACCAGACGAGCTGTCGATGGAGGAGGAGATAGAAAGGGAGACAACTGACTCAGACACTGATGTTGGTTAGTTCAATCATTTGAACTATAATTGTTATACTACGTGTATATTAATATACAGAATTTTAATAAATATACTGTATGAAAATTTTAATTGTTTCTAAAGGAAAAGTAACTAGTGTATTTTGTATGTGACTGTCCTCATTCATAGAAATCTTTTGATTAGGGTGAATTCACCATGCGTCCGACACCCTCCTACCTCAACAAGTTCTAGCAATATCGCTACCGATCGAATATCATCATAATAGAGTTTAACATGTAGTATGGGATTAAAATATAAATTTTTGACTCAGATATATGCAATTTATTGAGAAAATATCACTAAAAACAGATTTTTTTTTTAAATGAGCCAGATTTCACCATGGATCAGACAATGCTCTCCATGCATCGAACAAATGGTATTTAATCTGAGAAAATGTCATACCTTTATCTCTGCAGTGCTTTAAAATTAATGATCTGGAAATATTTTTACCTTTTATTTAAAATTAACCTTCTAGTTAAATTTGATTGACTACATCGATCCACAAATGTGGGAGATTTTAATTGCATCACATCGTATTAGAAAGGCTTTACAATGCGATTTATTTGTCAACTCGTACCTTTGTCTCGTGGGTTATCATACTCTGGTTTGTAAAAATAAATTGAGTCCAATTCTAGATGTCATGTATCGATAACTTGTATATTCACAGAAAATTTACAGTTTTTATTTTCTATTTCTGCAAAAAACAACTGTCAGTTGAGTACTATATGAAAATGGAAGTGATTACCCATGCATCGGAAAGTGTCCGATGCATGGTTAATTTGTGTCCGATGTACAGTGAAATGAATATACTAGTAAAGAACAACTCTGAAAAAAATTATACAAACATAGAAGTAAAATTTCTTTAAAAGTTCTGTAAATTTGTCAATCATTGACAAATTTCACCTAAGTCCAACTCGTTCCATTTAAGTAAAAGGGCAACTCTAAAAATTTGCAAAATCATAAAATTCTGGTTATCCCCCTTTGATGATGTAAAATATGACATAACTTCAAGGCCATTCTCAGGGTATTTTTATCACAACATGATAATAAAAATCGGCATCATTAAAAAGTTTAAATCTTTAGCTTCAAAACAGAAACAAGTAAAAACACGGGAATAATCAGGTTTAAAGAAAGTTTATTGCTTGAAGTTGTCTGAAGCGAGGTATGTGTCTGATGCATGGTTAACTCACCCTACATGTATTGAAGAGTATTCAAAATTTCGCACAAAAGTAAAATTTAGAATAAATAGGGCTGTTCTGAACTGCCTTAGTTCATGTTTGCTTTATTTATGTGTATAAAATTGATTTTGGCAATGATCATGAGTCACATGAATTTGAACCTGCTAAAAAACAAAGAAACGGTAATTTGTTTGTTTTGCAGACATCAATGATGTAAAAAATGTGACAGACCCTCTGACAAAGGTCAAGGTCGGACTGGTATCCAATGATGACACTCCTGTATCTCTCATAGAAGCCCACATTAGAGCAAAGTTGATTGACCTTGCAGGAGAGGTAATGGAAACCAAAATGGATGAAGTAACATAAAAAATAATTGTTGTTGTTTTAATTAATCAGTCAATATCCTTTAACACAAAGACACGTTATAAGCCATCAGAGATATAGAGTCAAAATTTCTTATTTTTCAATCAGATTATCCATGTACATTACAATATTATTCTTTGTTGAACATTCTATAGATACATGTAATATTCACCATTTTTTAGTACTGCTTGGTGCCAAATATGACTTAAACAATGTATAAACATGAATTTAATTTATCAATAATCAAGTTTGTTCTACTACCATATAAGGGAATTTTCAGTGAGACGCAAATTTAGCGATTTGTCCTTCAAAATCAGTATTTAATATCGGAAGAAGTAACTTAAGCAATTTTATGGCACATGGAAAGATAATGATAACCTCTAAATAATGGTCAGGAATAAATTGTAAGCGATTTTTAATTTTAACGATCTCAGTACCCTTACTAAAAAGCCAAATTGAATCCTTGCCAAAATTTTGGCTTATACGGTATGTATTCTTGTGTTTGAATACAACAGGTTGTAGTTCTACAAGAGTACCACAACAACAGTGACAAAGCTCTGGAAGCCAAGTATGTCTTCCCTCTGGATGATATGGCTGCTGTCTGTGGGTTTGAGGCCTTCATCAATGGTAAACACATCATAGGGGAGGTGAAAGAGAAAGAGACAGCACATAAAGAATACAAACAGGCCATAAAGGAGGGGCACGGGGCATACCTAATGGACCAAGACGAGGAAACTCCAGTAAGTAAAAATAATGTGGAGAAATCATGAAATGTTTTGGCGTCTTTTCTCTTTTGTAACTGTGAAGCAAAGCGTTATTGTGAGTTTTTTTTATTACCTAAAAATGCTCCTTATTTACATTGAAAAGTGAGCACTTAACAAGCATTTTTAATGATTTTAATTTCTTGAGATTTGCATCTTCATATGTCTTTTAGATTTCTAATCAAGAGCATTATGTTTTCAAAGAATACATTTTATTAAATTTTAAAATTGATTATCTGTTGGTATTATGTTAATCTGTATTGTAGCTCAGTTGTATTCATGTAGGTTTACAAGAAAGTGTCATTGGTTAGCTTTACATAAATTCTACACATTATTAAGCTAAACTGCCTGGGTAAATAAAGTGAGCACTCAGTTTTGATTTCTTATTAGGAAGTTTTTACGGTGAGTGTAGGAAACCTTCCCCCTAAGGCTACAGTCATCATTAAGATCACCTACGTCACAGAGCTACAGGTCGAGGGGGAACTCATCAACTTCCGTCTCCCTGGCAGCGTGGCGCCATGGAAACAGAAGTATGTCGTTGCTCCAGAATTCAAAGACAAGGTTTGTGCATTTTAAAATAAGGACACAGAACTGAGATTTGCAGTTTTGATATATAAGTTATTAAATTCAGCTATCAGGGGGAAAATGTTGAATTGTCCAATTTTCTGAAAATGGAGTTATTATAATACAAAAGAAGTTTAAGAAATGATACAGTCTAAAGTGCTCTTTCAAATAGTTTGTGTTTTGACATGTTGGTATGACTTGTTCATGTATGATGTGTATGTTAAACAACCCTCAATTGTTTGATCGATGCACAGTGCTAAAATGGAAAGAGGAAAGATTAAGTGTAAGAAGTAATATGATGATTTCTGTCTTTCATATCAGGACTGGGATACAGTTCAAGTCGAGGACACTGACTGCAGTGTACAGGTTTACGTGGACATGCCTTTTGACATCAGGAGTCTGGAATGTCCAACACACAAAATACTTGTTAAGGTATGACCGTCATTATACTTGTCTGGTAAAATTTGATGAAAAGTACAATGTACTATTGCATTAGACCTTTGGCATTGTATTGTATTACATTGACAGGGAGTCTGTTCATGACAGGATAACAGGAACTCTTTTTTTTCATAACTTATTTTCTTCTTATGTTAATCCTGAATTGTACGTTCGTAATAAATACGTTTTACCAAATGTGTTGAAACTAAATTTAGTGTCAATATTAACCCAAGCTTTCTTACGCTTGGTGTCTGGATCAATGTTCATAGTTAATTACATTTACAAAACTACCCGATTAATTAAGAAATAATTAAGTGAAATTAACTCTTTCACCAGTCTGTCCAAGCGTATGCTCATCAGTGTATCAATTAATTTTAATTATACGGCGACATTAAGTGTAAATAGGTAATTTTTTTATGTCTACTTTGGATGAATAAAGAAACAATTTGAATGCATGCTTTGTTGCTGTGTTAATTTATTTAATATGTGACCAAAAAAAAAAAAAAAAAAAAAAACCAAACGAAACATTGGTAATTTGAATTGACCATAAATTAAAAATGAAAGTAGATCAAAATAAACAAGATGGATGCCAAGGGATCTAGAAGATTGAGTTTGAAGAGTATTAAGCTTTATTTAAGTGAATTTATTTATAATAAAAACTTGAAACAGTAAGTAAATATTGTGAAATGATATGTCAATTAAAACTTGTATTTCAAATAAACCTAAAAAATCGAAATTATATGTAACGTAAGATGTATAATACATCCAATAATTTACACAAACGTCGTATCGTCAGCCGTCCGACATGAATTTCATCCAACTATGGTTATTATAAAAGTCGCTTATTATAAAGTTTTGGCCTGACAAATAAACTATGATAATAAACGAATTGTACTGTATTTTGAAACCTCTACTTAGTTAATAGACAAAACATTTTCTTTTTAACGAAAGTTTGGTTTGACATTAAAATGCTATAGGTAGTGATGACACCTTAAAAATTTTTGAAATTATACCTTAGGTAAAATATTTTGTGAAAACTTCCACATATGTAGGTAGTAAAAATGTACAGGCATTAACTGCACAAGGTGTTAAGTACATTTTAGGTGGTGTATTTTGTAGAGGACTGCCACACAAGGTGTTTAATACATTATTTTATTTTGTTGCATTTTGTAGAGAACTGCCACTAAAGCTACTGTAGAGATGAAAGAGGACCAGACAATAGAAGATGGCTTCCAGTTGCTGATAGGTCTAGCAGAGATCCACGTGCCGCGAATGTGGGTGGAATCGGACGAAGGCGAAGATTCACAGGTATTCCATAATAGTTGTGTATTTACCTTTTCCTTATTATCTCAACTAAAAAAGAATAAGCTTGATAAATGCTTAAAAAGCATATTAAGTACAAGAGCAAGTTAAAGGAATTTAATTAAACTTAGCCTTTGAAATTAATTTTTTTGATTTTAAAAGGATTATGTTGTAACAGTTTTTAAAGAGCCAAAATTAGATAAAAGACATATACTTTGTATATGCGTAAAATTTCTTTTTCAGCAAAGCATATATTAACTGCAAATTCATTCATGATACAATTTTTAAGGAAGTCTCAGATAAACGCACTTTTAGTTCTGAGATTTGAATTAAGATTTTGAATGCCACTGAGGCTAGACTCTCACAAATGTTTTACTGAGTCTAGTTTTCTGTTAGTTAATCACTGCTGGATTGTCAGTGAGTTACTTAACAGGCCTGTGTGCTGACCTATTACCCTGAGTCTTATTCTCTCTCAGTAAGTCACTGTTGATATGTTTACTGGTTTTATTACAGGCCTGTATGCTGACCTTTTACCCTGAGTCTTATTCTCTGTCAGTTATTCACAGTTGATATGTTTACTGGTTTTATTACCAGGCCTGTATGCTGACTTTTTACTCTGAGTCAAATCCTCTGTCAGTTATTCACAGTTGATATGTTTACTGGTTTTATTACCAGGCCTGTATGCTGACTTTTTACTCTGAGTCAAATTCTCTGTCAGTTATTCACAGTTGATATGTTTACTGGTTTTATTACCAGGCCTGTATGCTGACTTTTTACTCTGAGTCAAATCCTCTGTCAGTTATTCACAGTTGATATGTTTACTGGTTTAATTACCAGGCCTGTATGCTGACCTTTTACCCTGAGTCTTATTCCCCGTCAGTTATTCACAGTTGATATGTTTACTGGTTTTATTACCAGGCCTGTATGTTGACTTTTTACTCTGAGTCAAATCCTCTGTCAGTTATTCACTGTTGATATGTTTACTGGTTTTATTACCAGACCTGTATGCTGTCCTTTTAATCTGAGTCAAATCCTCTGTCAGTTATTCACTGTTGATATGTTTACTGGTTTTATTACCAGGCCTGTATGCTGACCTTTTAAGTATCTGAGTCTAATCCTCTGTCAGTTATTCACTGTTGATATGTTTACTGGTTTAATTACCAGGCCTGTATGCTGACCTAATTCTCTGTCAGTTATTCACTGTTGATATGTTTACTGGTTTTATTACCAGGCCTGTATGCTGACCTTTTACCCTGAGTTTGAGGCCGAGGAGGAGTCAGAGGTCGAGGTCATTTTGATGATTGACAGCTCCAACTCCATGAAAGGCTCCGCCCTACAACAAGCCAAGAAGGCTGCTCTATTGACTCTTCACCTCATGGAGTCCAGTTGGAGATTTAATGTGGTGTCTTTTGGAACAGGTACAATTTGGGGAGATGAATATACATTAAAAAAAACAGTAATAACAAACCTGCCTATAATGAATTCATGCTAACAGCCAAGTGATTTTCATTCCCTGTGATTTTAAAAAATTCTATTATGAACTTATCTGGAATTACAAATTAGGCTTGTAACAAAATCAGAATTGTTTGTCTCTGTCACTTTGCTTAAATGTGTTTTTCTCATACTCTGTCTGTTGAGAGACATTGTTCCAGATAATATGTGTCTCCATTATCTGTACATATTTTTTTTAATTTTTCAAAAATGAATTATGCAAAAGTACTGTCATCATTGAAATTCAAGTTATCTTTTGTTGAATTTTGTATGTTTCAGCTTTCCAAGAGCTTTTCCCATCCAGTCAGCCTGCTAGTAAATCCAACATACAGACAGCAAAACAGTTCATACAGGCAAGAAATAAGAATTACTAACACCCAGGATCAGTGAAAATTAATACTGCTTGTATATTTATTATTAATTTTTCTTTTGATTTCTCCTTCAGAGGCTGCAAGCAGATCAGGGTAACACAGAACTTTGCCGACCTTTGAACTCTTACTACCTCCTAAAGCCAGAAAGTTACACCAGAAATATATTCCTCATCTCTGATGGCCATATTAACAATGAGGAGACTACTCTGTCCAGAATCACCCAAAATTACCAGCACACAAGGGTCTTTACATTAGGGGTCAGGTAATGTCAGAATATATTTTATGAATTTTATGAAAAATAACATCTTCACAATTATCTAGTTAGTAAATTGATTAATTAATTACTTTTTTAAAGGGGGGGGGGGGATTGCAAAAGTTAAAATATTACAACATTTCTGACTTAACTAGGCCGAGTCTAATTATTTCTACCCTAGAGTTTTTGATAAATTTTCTTGAATTAATTTTTACTATAATTATACATGTATTTATTGTTTTAAGATTAAAAAATGAATGTTTACCATCCCGGTTTCTTAGGGGGCCATCTCAAAAGTTGTCAAATTTTACTATAGGACCCTATGGGAATTTGTTGGAAAAGCACCATATTACCTCATTTTCCCCATATTTTTTGTATTTCTGCCCTAGAGAGCCAAGAACATGAAAGGTATTGTAAAAAATCACCTAATTGTGAAATTTCAAAAAAGTTGACCATCTAGGTTGGTGTAGGAATTATTACAAAGCTTATTTTTCAATGCTCAATGCCTCAAAAATTGTCATATTGTGGTATATGTATATATCTGTGCAGATGAATTATCGGCACAGATGAATTATTTTGGTAAAAAATAGCAATGTTTAGGTTGCTAGTATGTTTCTTTTGATGTTCTGCCAACAGTTCTTAGTCAAATATCCATGGAAATCTTGAATATACAAGCAAGTCATGTGCAATTCTTCAGCGTCATGCATTGCTTTCAAAATCGGAAAACAGTGACGTCGTTAGAGCCATTTCAGCGTTTTTCCTTAATTATTGTCGTAAAAGCACATTTTCAGACTCGAAGGCGTTATAGATAATGTTAATTTTGTATTAAAATCACAATATTTGGGAAAGGTGTAATGTCGCACATATGACAGTATGAAATTAAAAAGCTGCGCAAAGTCATGCACACTCGAATTAGACTCGGCCTCATTAAATTTTATTAGATTTACAGTAACTGTCTACTCTTTTGTTTATAATAAGTATATTAATAATTTTATTACTTTTTTTCTCATTTTTACAGCTCTGTGGCTAATCATCACATACTGAAAGCTGTTGCCAGAGTAGGAGCAGGGTCATTTGAGTTTTACGACTCCAAGTTCAAATCGAAGTGGGAGGATAAGGTAAACATTACAGTAAAACTTTGTTATCTCAAACTCAATGGGACCTAGAAAAAACTGTCAGATTTCCAAGAATTCGAGACATCAGGCGAAAAATATTAAAGAATAAGTGGTTTGGACTTCCAAATCACTTGGACATATCCATGATATTCGGCATATCTGTGTTTGAGATTCCAAAGTTTAACTGTATTTATAAAATTGAAAAAGATAATTTTTAAATGTCTTTTTGTGGCAGCGATTTTCTTTCTCCCTATTTTTTTCTCCTCTACAATCAACCTTATTGACTTGTGTTAGCTTTTTTCCCTCCTTCTCTGCAATTAGATCATATATTATTTGTCTGTTTTAAGATCAAGTCCCAGTTACAGAAAGCTGCCCAACCAGTGTTGACCTCTGTGTCTGTTGATTGGGGCCATGACGACCAACACCCAGCTCCCATCCAAGCTCCGCAGCAAATAACAGCTCTGTTCAGTGGGTCCCGACAAGTCATCTACGGCTTTGTGGACAATTGTTACATGGTTTGTACTACATGTATTTTACAAAAAGAAGCCATAATATTGGATGGCTTCTTGTGGGAGTTTTCATTAAAAGAATAATTAATTTCAGATTTTTTGGTCCTACTTATTTGTGAAGATACAGGGACCATTATTTGTGAGATTATGTACCAGTCAAAGAAAAGTGCTTTGTCTAGTGTATATATTTTGTGTTATATTAACATTCTAACTTAATGACATTGTGTTACTATTTCAGGCAACTCTGAAAGCAGAAGTCGGAGGTCAAGAGATATCAACTGTTGTGTCGACCTCTGACCTTAGTGTCACAAAGGGCAAGGTCAGTTTCACAATTCACAGATAAAAACAAAACCATCCTCAGGCTGATAGGATGCTAGAAATAAACAGAATGTTTGGCTTTGTGCTATAAATTACATCAATTCTAAACCCTCAAGAGATTATACTTGTATAAGACAACTTTCTGATGATCTTTTAATTTTCTTCTGAATTCAGCGCAGCTCCCTATGTACCATTATGTACAAACATCAGCCATGATTTTGATTTATTTTTAGATGCTGCACAGACTGACTGCGAAAGGGGTGATAAGAGATTGGGAAGATGGAGTTCTTTCCCCTGACAGGACAGGACATGAGGTAAAAAAAAACAAAAATAGAATTTGTTATATATTGCCATTGGTGAATCATTTTCTAAGCCATAGGTATCTTAAAATGCTTAAAAACATAATTTTATATATTGCTTTGTAAATTAATGTACAAATAGGTACCAATAGGACCTGATTTGTACGCACTCTTCTATTATCATGTGACATTTCTAAAGTACAAAAATGCAAACATCATACATACCGGTACATGCATATGTATGTATGTTTGGATGTTTTACAGTATGTGCAAATTTATGGAAAATAAGAATTCAGCATTAATATAAAAAGAGTTAAGAATGGAACAGTCCAGCTGGTTAAAATAGGCATTTTATACTGTAATCACATTAATCATTCACCTGTATATTCAATTCTGATTTTTTAATAAATATTTTATTGTTTAAACAGGTAATTAAGGAATGAATAAATCATATAACTGACAAGTTACATGTATTTGATTTTAATAATTATGAAAATGTATTATTCACTACAGTATGTACTAAACTATTTTTTCTGAATATCAGGTGAAGAAAATGAATCTGAAGCAGTATATTATAGAGTTGAGTAAGAAATATACCATAGTCACATCACTCACCAGCTTTGTCGCCATCGAGAAACGAGAAAAGGTAATCACTTCTGAAATCTGGTAATTATTACATGTAACATACTGACTTTTTAAAGCAAAAATCTCGGATAATTTTCCTTCTAAATTCTATGGATCTCACACCAAGAAGAACAACAGATCAGAACAATCTTTATAGATTATTGTACATTTTTTCTTTATTATAATTTTACTATATGGTAGTTGAGATTTATTTTACAAACTGAGAACATCAACATTTAAATGTAAGCACTTTTCTTAAATATTGACTCCTTATACCTTTAAATCTTTAGTATCTAATATTCTACCCATTGAACACCTACAGGCACAAGATTCCACTTTGAAATTTACAATTTATATACATTGTAACTTTGTAATGGATCTCTGGATTAATTAAATTGCAGGATGAGGTTATCCCTGAGGATGCTCCAGATATTTGGGACCTCCTGGAAAATGAGGATGTAGATCAGCTAAAGTATTTATCATGGGAAGGAGAGGAGGTACATTGAATAGAACTCACATTAGAAAAAGTCACATGACCATTGAATTCTATTTATACACATTTATTATACCTAATTTTATAGATAGTTTGGTAAACTTTTCATTATTTCGAATTTTGTTCATTTTACAACTTTTCTAAATTTTTATGTTTTTAATTCTCTGTTGGATGATCATATGATATGGATTCACAAGACCTGCTACATTTCAGACAAATATATTGACTTTTGATTGCTCTGTTTATCTTATAATAGAGAGGGCTCATGGAGGGTATAACTGATGGACAAGGGGATGCTTGCTTCTCCTAGGCCCTTGATCCCGACTCTGGTGTATTACCAGAGTTCCATGTTTTTATGGCATGTTCACATTTTGTGTTACATAAAGGATTTATGAGATAAATCACCGATTGTTATCTTCACCTCTAGTCATAGGAGTATACAATGGAATGTACATACATGTGATCTATAACAACTGTTTCTTATACCAACAGAAAAATAGGAGAAGAATAAAAAATTCATTGTGAAATAAGATATATATTTATATTTTGTTTTCTACCAAGGATGAGAGTTCACCTCCACTCATAGGAGTATACAATGAAATGTACATACATGTAATCTGTAACAACTGTTTCTTATACCAACTGAAAAAAAGGAGAAAAATAAAAAAAAATCCTTGTGAAAGCAGATATATAATTATTTATATTTTGTTTTCTACATAGGATGAGAGTTCAGAGAGTTCAAGCGATGAAGGAGAAACGGAAGAGTCTTCCACGGTAAATTTTATTTTCATTTAATGTAAATCCAAGATGGAAAAATAATTTTTGTTTGATCTTCAGCTACTGTTGAAGAATTGCTTTGCTTGATTTTCGAAATTTACCAACAACCTTTTATCATGGCTGTACATTAGTTTAAGATAAAAAAAAAATATTTCCATCTTTGATTTATATTGAAAATAAAGTTTTAAGGTAAAAGAGCAAGTAATATCAGAATACCAGTGATTCTAAACAACAAAAATTCAGAAGTTGAGTCATTTTCATTTACCAATTAACAAGGATGATGAATTGCTGACGATTTTGTCAGAATCAAGGAAAAGGTAAAGATGAAATTATTTTGGAGAGGATCACATATTCAGAAAAGTTCATATTTGGTGGCATTTATTCCTGTATTTTATTTGTATCCTTTATATCATACATTGCAGTAAAATATGGCTCTAATATGTGAAGAAAAAATGCAGTTTTATAGATTTTGCAATTTACATGCATAAATAGGAACATTCATTTTCATCATTGTAATACCCAGAAACACAATTAATATTTGAATTTGCATCATGATCATTAAAAAAAGAACAGTACAATGGAATTTATAACTATAACAGTACTTTAGAGAGGGAGTTAAAAGGGGGGGGGGTAACCATTTTTTTAGCTCACCTGAGCTGAAAGCTCAAGTGAGCTTTTCTGATCACATTTTGTCCGGCGTCCGTCTGTCTGTCCGTCCGTCTGTCTGTCTGTAAACTTTTCACATTTTCGACTTCTTCTCAAGAACCACTGGGCCAATTTCAACCAAACTTGTCACAAAGTATCCTTGGGTAAAGGGGATTCAAGTTTGTTCAAATGAAGGTCCACGCCCTCTTTCAAGGGGAGATAATTAGGAATTACTGAAAAAATAATGGCATCATTTAAAAATCTTCTTCTCAAGAACCATAGGGCCAGGAAAGATGAAACTCATGTGGAAGCATCCTCAGGTAGTGTAGATTCAAGTTTGTTCAAATCATGACCCCCGGGGGTAGGGCGGGGCCACAATGGAGGATCAAAGTTTTACATAGAAATATATAGGAAAAATCTTTAAAAATCTTCTTCACAAGAACAGCAAAGCCATGATGAGTCATATTCATGTGGAAGCATCCTCAGGTAGTGTAGATTCAAATTTGTTCAAACCATGACCCCCGGGGGTAGGGCGGGGCCACAATGGAGGATCAAAGTTTTACATAGAAATATATAGGAAAAATCTTTAAAAATCTTCTTCTCAAGAACAGTTAAGCCATGATGAATCATATTTATACGGAAGCATCCTCAGGTAGCGTAGATTCAAATTTGTTCAAATCATGACCCCTGGGGGTAGGGCGGGGCCACAATGGAGGATCAAAGTTTTACATAGAAATATATAGGAAAAATCTTTAAAAATCTTCTTCTCAAGAACAGTAAAGCCCTGATGAGTCATATTTACATGGAAGCATCCTCAGGTAGTGTAGATTCAAGTTTGTTAAAACCATGACCCCCGGGGGTAGGGCGGGGCCACAATGGAGGATCAAAGTTTTACATAGAAATATATAGGAAAAATCTTTAAAAATCTTCTCCTCAAGAACAGCAAAGCCATGATGAGTCATATTTATATGGAAGCATCCTCAGGTAGTGTAGATTCAAGTTTGTTCAAATCATGACCCCTGGGGGTAGGGCGGGGCCACAATGGAGGATCAAAGTTTTACATAGAAATATATAGGAAAAATCTTTAAAAAATCTTCTTCTCAAGAACAGCAAAGCCATGATGAGTCATATTTATGTAGAAGCATCCTCAGGTAGTGTAGATTCAAGTTTGTTAAAACCATAACCCCCGGGGGTAGGACGGGGCCACAATGGAGGATCAAAGTTTTACATAGAAATATATAGGAAAAATCTTTAAAAATCTTCTCCTCAAGAACAGCAAAGCCATGATGAGTCATATTTATATGGAAGCATCCTCAGGTAGTGTAGATTCAAGTTTGTTCAAATCATGACCCCTGGGGGTAGGGCGGGGCCACAATGGAGGATCAAAGTTTTACATAGAAATATATAGGAAAAATCTTTAAAAATCTTCTTCTCAAGAACAGCAAAGCCATGATGAGTCATATTTATGTAGAAGCATCCTCAGGTAGTGTAGATTCAAGTTTGTTAAAACCATAACCCCCGGGGGTAGGGCGGGGCCACAATGGAGGATCAAAGTTTTACATAGAAATATATAGGAAAAATCTTTAAAAATCTTCTCCTCAAGAACAGCAAAGCCATGATGAGTCATATTTATATGGAAGCATTCTCAGGTAGTGTAGATTCAAGTTTGTTAAAACCATGACCCCCGGGGGTAGGGCGGGGCCACAATGGAGGATCAAAGTTTTATATAGAAATATATAGGAAAAATCTTTAAAAATCTTCTCCTCAAGAACAGCAAAGCCATGATGAATCATATTTATATGGAAGCATCCTCAGGTAGTGTAGATTCAAGTTTGTTCAAATCATGACCCCCGGGGGTAGGGCGGGGCCACAATGGAGGATCAAAGTTTTACATAGAAATATATAGGAAAAATCTTTAAAAATCTTCTTCTCAAGAACAGCAAAGCCATGATGAGTCATATTTATGTAGAAGCATCCTCAGGTAGTGTAGATTCAAGTTTGTTAAAACCATAACCCCCGGGGGTAGGGCGGGGCCACAATGGAGGATCAAAGTTTTACATAGAAATATATAGGAAAAATCTTTAAAAATCTTCTTCACAAGAACAGCAAAGCCATGATGAGTCATATTCATGTGGAAGCATCCTCAGGTAGTGTAGATTCAAATTTGTTCAAACCATGACCCCCGGGGGTAGGGCGGGGCCACAATGGAGGATCAAAGTTTTACATAGAAATATATAGGAAAAATCTTTAAAAATCTTCTTCTCAAGAACAGTTAAGCCATGATGAATCATATTTATAAGGAAGCATCCTCAGGTAGCGTAGATTCAAATTTGTTCAAATCATGACCCCTGGGGGTAGGGCGGGGCCACAATGGAGGATCAAAGTTTTACATAGAAATATATAGGAAAAATCTTTAAAAATCTTCTTCTCAAGAATAGTAAAGCCCTGATGAGTCATATTTACATGGAAGCATCCTCAGGTAGTGTAGATTCAAGTTTGTTAAAACCATGACCCCCGGGGGTAGGGCGGGGCCACAATGGAGGATCAAAGTTCTACATAGAAATATGAAGGAAAATATCTTCCTCTGAAGAACTGCAAACCATGATTAGTCATTTTGATATGGAAGCATCCTCAGGTAGTGTAGATTCAATTTTGTTCAAATGATGACCCGCAGGGGTAGGGTGGGGCCCAATGGGGAATGGAAAGTTTAACATAAGAACATAAAGAAGAAATATTTCTTCTCAAGAACAGAAAAGCTATGTTTAGTCATATTGATATGGAAGCATCCTCAGGTAGTGTAGATTCAAGTTTGTTCAAATGATGACCCCTGGGATAGGGAGGAGCCACAATGGGGGATCAAATTTTTACAAAGGAATATATGGGAATTTTTTTTAAAATCTTCTCAAGTACAACAAAGCCATTTGTTACATTGACATGGAAGCATCATCAGGTAGTTTAAAATTCAAGCCCCCCCCCCCCCCCCCCCCCGGTCTTTTCAATACTGAACTGATTTGTGCTTTTGCCTAGCCAATGTGCTCAGGTGAGCGATGTGGCCCATGGGCCTCTTGTTGTTTAAACCTGCTTAACATTCAGAAATATTTCTAATTAAACATTAAAGCAGAATAAAGAATTTCTATGCAGCAATTTCAGTTGTCCTTGAAAAGAAGTTGAAAATATGAAAAAGTGTACATAAGACAGACATAAGCACAATATAAACTCTGAGAACAGAAAAGCTCACTTGGGCCTATCCCTCAGCTGAGCTGAAAGCTAATTTTTTCAAATGTATAGAGCGTATTTGTAGCATGTACAGACATGGTAAGGATTATATTGACCTTGACCTCTTGAATATTTTTTACAGGAAGAGGAGGGAGAAGGGGAAGAGGAGGAAGAAGAATGTGAGGAAGAAGGAAGAAAGAAATCACATCATCTTACAGCAGAGGAGGAGGATGTATGTCCAGAAAGTTGTACAGTAAAACTTGTCTAATCAGTACACCACTGGCTCCATAGAAATTGGCTGACTAGACAATATTCCAGATAAGATGACATTTTTAACAAATTTACTGAAAGGGACTTAAAGTTAACATCATATTAGGCAAGATTTTGGAATACACAATGTCCAGATTAGACAAGTTTCACTGTATATACAATTGAGGCTTATTTTCTACAGGAAATTGTCTAGTATAGTGAACCATACCTTTTAGCTCACCTCAGCCAAAGACTTATCAACGTGTTTGGGACCAAGAATCAAATCTGTACCTCTCTGTGATGAAGCAAATACACTAGTAATAGGCTAACTGAAAACTATTTGAAAAAAAAAATTTAAAATAAAATCAAGGATTCAGTTAGTTATATGATATACATGTTCAAGTTAAGTAATATAAATACAGGAATATTTTTGAAACTCTCCTGCTCAGAAACAGCATTAAAGTATTTATTATGTAAATATACAAGCTATCAGTTTTGTTCAAATCATGGCCACTGGACTTGGATAGGGTACATGTACAGTAAGATTTTTGATATAATGCAAAACATTTTACTAGACATTTTTAGTATTCTTTTTATTATAAATAATATAGAACAGTAAATCTAGATTTACACATTGTGAAATATAGGAATCTGGGTATTTTTGGATTTGAATGGTTAAACTTGACATGACTAGGACATTTTTCATATTCAGGTTTCTCACGACCAGAGTATGATTCAACTTTCTGCCAATAACATCCAAGAAAATTGAATCCAAAAGCATTTTCTCTCTGTAAAATGTCTTGAGAAAGATTGAGTTCTTTTTTAATCTCTCTGTCAGTATTTTATCTTTCTTTGGTTTCTTTGAGTTGTTTTGCAGGAAATGTTGATCCAATGAAAATATAATAATTATATTTGATTTATTCATTGGAAGATATGGTACTTGCTTAAAATTTTTCTGTTATAACAAAAAGTTAATTAAACCAATGTTAATTTTTATTTTATTTCCAGGAGGAAGAATATGAAGATGCCTACAAAGCCTTTCAAATTGTAGAACCGGATTGCATGGTATGTTAAGTTGATGATACTGTATACAGGGAAAATTTTGTCCCTGTTTTATTTTCGCCCCTTTTGGCCCCACTCACAGGTGGGCAAATTTAAAATGGAGCGAATTCAAAAAACACAGTATGATTTCTTGAACAGAATTCTGACTGGGTGAATTTAAAACGGGGCAAAATTGTTTCCAGTTGTGAAAGGGCGAAAATAAGACGGGGCGAAAATAACCCGGCTTGTATACAATGTTCATTTCATGTTCCACGATTATCTTTGGAAACCTTAAATACGTATATGTACTGAAAACCAACTATTATTCGCGGAATTATGTCATCCCAGATGAAGTCTGGGAAACATATTGCTATTGTTCGACCAATAATGCTGTGTGCACAATTTCTCAAAGATGGCTTTGTCAATTTTGCTGAAACTCCACTGTCATAATAATCACTAACTAAAGATGTGTAATCTTTCTTCAAATTTTTCAAAATGGCCATGTTGCTGTGGAAACTGATAAAAGGTGGAATTTTTTAATAATCTTCTTTCTTGGCTGCTTTTAATCATAATGATATCTTTTTGAAAATTTAAAGAAGTGTTCCTTGCCTCCTGTCAAACTAAAAGAATTTAATAGGCAAAAAAATTGGGAAAAGGATGGACAGAAAATACAATTAATGTAAGAAAAGTTGATGTCAGTTTTGTGATAAATTGCGAGTTATCGTGTCCTGCAAGTTTCTCGAAAATGGCCTCGACAAAATTACTGAAAGTTTATAGACATGATAATCACCACATGTAGTTGTGTTAAAGTCCTTTTAAATTTTCAGATTTGTCACTGTTGCCATGGCAACAGACAAAAAATAGTCATATTTTTTAGATTTCGTTTTTTCTGTAATTTTTCATAATACCGTAAATCTGGAAATTTTTATGTCGCTTTATTTTTGCGAATCTGGGTCAAAAAGCTGTTGATTAATTTTTACGTTTCAAATTTTTGCGAATTGCCATTGGTGTTCAATTGAAAAGCGCTTAAAATTTTCAAAACAGTTTATACGTAATGCAGGTACATACAAAAAATCACGCATGTACTCGTACATGTACGTATACAATAATAAGCGATGCCAACGTTCAATAATCAGATTATAAATTACGCATATATACATACAATAAATTACGCATCTACATACAATATTAAACGATTGCAATGTTCAATAATCAGATAAAAGTATTAAAAGCAATAAAACATCTAAACTGTTTAAAGTTGTCATAACATTTTATTAAATCACACATGTACATAAAACGATGTCAGCTTTAACTAACCTTCAAATAAAAACATTCTCTACCGGGTATAAGAAGAGAAAAACGTCTAATTAATATTGAATTACATAATATATATAAAACTGGCCTCTCTTTCTTGGAGAAATAATTTAAAAGAGACACAAATGTAGTGAAGACACTTTCCATGCACGGTTTATCACGGGTAATTAGCTTGTAGTATAAACAGGTTTCTTAAATTGGCTACTGCTTATGAACACCTGTTCACTGGGTTAAAAAAAATAGCCACAAGCTGTCGGCAAACTTTGTGTTTGCATTTTTTGTTGTTGATTTATTTTTAAGAAAAATATTTTTGCGAATGCAATGCACACGCAAATTTGCTAAAAATTTATCTACAGTAAAAATTTCCAGATTTACGGTATCTGTCTTGTAACCTTATTGAGGTGTTAGTCGCATCCTATCAAAGTGATTCCTGCAGAATAATTGATCAGAATGAACGAAAAGAACTAATCAATAATTTTTAAAAAAAAGATGCAGTCAAGTCATCTATTTCACGATGTTTCCTCACATGGTTTTGTCCTTGAATGTTCTCTTAGACAGCTTTGACAATATTATTGAAACCTTCCACAGAAATAATTATTATAATCACTATTCGTAGTTTTGCAAAACCTTATTTAAGATTTCCTCCAACGTTGCCATTAGAATAGAAAAAATGATTTAAGTGCAGTTTCCTGAAATGAGTGGCCAAAAAACGTTGTGTAAACGTTTATGTTTCATCTTTTTAAAATTGTGATTTATTCAATTTCTTTGTTCTCTTACTTTCTTTTTCCATGATAATCATAGGGTACATAGAGGTCCGACTATGAAGCTTTTATATATTATCAGTTTCTTGATATGATTTAGAGGATTCCGAAATGAATTATCTTTAAGTTAGCATTAATTTTCAAAAAAAAAACCTAGGACCAACATTTCTTAAACACTACAAACTATTCATTTTATTTTCATTTAAGTAATTTATGGGAACGTTATTAGAGTAATGCACACAAGTATGTTATTGTGTAGAGGCAAAACTTCTCTTGTGATGGAGAAGAGACAGAAAACCTTTCTATTTCCATAGCAAAGATTATTTCGTAAATTAAAAGGATTGTTTATATGTTGTGTGTGCATATTTATTTCCCAATAACATACTTGTGTGCATTACACACACAAAACAGCGAGATAGATACGCAAGATATAAAATTAACGAGTGATAGGGAGATGTTATGAGTTTCATTAATAAAATTCAGTTCCGCTGAGGTGATCTGATAAAAGTAGATTTCGAAACTTGTGGATATCTCTCGCACACGAATAAAAGTTGTTTTACAGTAGATAAGTGTCTGTTTGTAAGCAAAAGTACATGTATTACTTTGCATTAGTACATATACTGTACAGTACCATAATATTGGTCAGTCTTATTCGAAAAGGATAGCATAAAATAAACCTTTTGGCAACATGGTAACAGTCATCTTTATTTTCAAGATGAACATTTTCATATGTTGAAGATTTCACCATTTAACAAATTTATGTGATAGTGTCTAAATGTTAAATTTAAGATTAAAGAATGATCATAAGTGGTAAAAATCTTCTTTTGAAGAACAGCTAGGCCATGGTTACTAGGGTGAGAATTATGGGCCATGGGTCTCCTTTAGAACATTCAGTCATTGTACAATTTTTATCATTTAATACCCAAAAAAAGGTTTAATTTGTAAAATTCCTTTTACACTTTTTTCCCCGCAGACTGGCTTATTAATATTAGCTTTTCTGATACAAAAGTGTCTTTCATCTTTCTGTCTGTCTAACATCGTTAATCAGTCAAACTTAGTGACACAAAATATGTGCAGTGAAAAAGAATTAATGGTCCCTTAACAGGACAAGTAATGAAGACACATGCAATTTAACCATGGCGAAGAAAAATCTACTCAGTGACATTTACTATTCGGGCTAGAGCATAAGTGAAAGCTTCATAATGTTTTTAAGATTTAATTTAATTGTTGAAATATTGAACCCAGAGGACAGAATAAGGGTGAGGTCTGATATACAAAGGAAAGGTTCTTTTGAAATCCTTTTAAGAACAGCCAGGGCATAGTTGCACATTAATTTTCATTGTTCTGCAGAATCAGATTTACTGGTACAATAGAAGAACACACTTTTTTTAAACAAAATGCAAACATTTAGACATTCTTTTATAAAAACACAATTATAGTCATCTAAAATTTTACCTTTTGATTAACAAAATCCAGGTATTTTCATTAAATGAATTGTCAAAATATGACATTTTAATGTTAATTAAAGACTGCTATTTTTATGCCCCCTGATTGAAAGATCCTGGGGGTATATTGTTTTGGTCCCGTCTGTCTGTCTGTTTGTCTGTTTGTCTTTCTGTCTGTTGTCAACTTTAACCTAGCCCATAACTATTGCGCTGTCAAGGGTAAGACTTTAATATTTGACATGAGTGTTCATTATGACAGGACCTTTCCATTGGTACAGAAATTTTTGATCATGTGACCTCAACTGTGACCTTTGATCTACATTTGAAAAACTTTAACATTGGCCATAACTATTGCACTGTAGTCTACGTCCCACTCCAGAATTGTGTTACCATCGGGGGCATAGTGTTTCACAAACACATCTTGTTTAATTTTTTTTTTATACAAAAGTGTTGCAATCTTCAACAAATTACATTCAATAAGATTCAAATAGGTAAATTCTAAACATTTTCCTTAAAGAATATGGCTTTAAAAATAAAAAGGAATGTGTATTTATGCATGTCCCTTTCCTAAATTTCTTCATTTTTCTCACAGAAATGTTTGCTAATCAACATCACCGGTTTGGGATGTTTGGTTCTTGTTTTAAAGGAGTCAATTTATAAGAGAAGTCACTTTAGCTAATGGTCAGTTTTTTATTCTCTCCTCAGGAAGAAGGTATGGACATTGAAGAGGATGATGACGTATATATGGATTCTGTGGTATGTTTATGATATATTTATATTTATGTCTCATGGTTACTAATGGAGATCAGTCAGGGGCATGATGGAATCAAGTTATTTTTTAAAATAACTTTTTTAGGTTACTTCACTTATTTATTACTAAAGTAGTAGTAGTAAATTTTATTTATAGTCGGAATATATACATTTAACAAAAAACATGAGCTTTAAGGCTCTTTTACCGACTAGAAAAGAAATAACTCATTTGAGTTTGAGTTAATTCTTAAAACCTAGAATGCCTATGAATTTTGCCAAAAACCATCAATATTTTGAGTTTGCTGCTGATTTAAGATGATGTAAGGCTGAGAAAATTGTAAATATATGTACTGCTTTTAATAGACTCGACAGACTTCATATTTCCTGAGCAGATACGATGATATTTATCAAAATATCATGATATTTTTCAGGAAAAATAATTCCATTTCATGAACATTTCAGAGGTCAATTACACAACTTCCACCAATTTTGCCAACAGTGAGACTAATTTTCCTAAAATCCTTGGATATTACTTTACAATCTCTATGTCTTGCATTTTTTGTGCAAAGCTGTAGAATTTTTGTGCAAGAGTTCTAAAGTGAGGTTGGTTAAGGTTTAAATAACTGAAATAAGTTATGATTTGTTGAATTTCAACTTGTTAAATCTTAATGATACTAGATTACTTTAACTGTCATGAACCTTTTCCATCTACTTAATAACCCAAGTACAGCATGAATAAAGCTTTTCAGATACCAGTAGGTTTAAAATAATGAATAGTAAAGTATCAATAATGGGAATAAGTTACTGAAGAAAAGCATAATCAGGGAAAGATAACCCAAAATAATGACATTTAATAACTTAAACAAATTATTTTAAAAATAACTTGTTTCCATGATGCCCTTGACTGGAGATCTAGAATGTATCTCCAAGGGGTGATGATCAAGAAAAGACAAAAATAGGGTGGGGTCATTAACAAATCTTCTTCTCAAGAACCACTGGGCCAGAAAAGCTGAAACTGATGTGCAAGCATCCTGAAGTAGTGTAAAATCTAATTGTTCAAATCATGACCCCTGAGGGCAGGACAGGGCCACAATAGGGAATCCAATTTTATATAGGAAAATATTTAAAAATCTTCTTCTCTAGAACCACTAGGCCAGAAAAGCTGAAACTTATGTGAAAGCATCCTGAAGAAGTGTAGATTCCTAATTGTTCAAATCATGACCCCCAGGGGTAGGGCAGGGCCACAATAGGAATTCCAATTTTTACATAAAATATGTAGGAAAAATCTTTAAAAATCTTCTCCAGAACCACTGGGCCAGAAAATCTGAAACATTTGTGGAAGCATCCTGGTTAGTGTAGATTCTAAATTGTTCAAATCTTGACCCCTGGGGGTAGGGCTATAAGAAGGGGGAAATCAGGTGAACAGCAGGGCCAAAGTTACTCAGGTGAGCGTGTAGCCCATGGGTTTCTTGTTTAGCTCAGTTTTCAAGATACCATTCAAGATAGTGTAATCAAACTTTATATGCTAATACATACTATGTAAGCTTTTCAACTGCTTCAGTATTTTTTTAACTTGACCATTCTTTTTGACGTTGACCTCCCTTTTCTTAAATTAGACTAAGTGTATAGATAAGTTTTGAACAAACAATTCAAGATATTTTTATTAAGCTTTATATGCTGAAACATTCTGATAAGAGCTATCAATTGCATCAACATTTTTTGACCTTGACTTTTCCTTTGACCTCACTTTTTTAAATTAGTGTTTATCTTAGTTTAAAAAAAAATTCATGATATTTTTTTTATCAAACTTCATATGCTAATACATACTGATGTAAGCTTTTTCAACTGCATCAACATTTTTTGACCTCAACCTTTCCTTTGACCTTGACCTCTCCTTTCTTAAATTAGTGTTTAGCTCAGTTTTAAATAAACCATTCAAGATATTTTTATCAAACTTAATATGCTGATATGTATTAATAAGAGCTATTCAACTGCATCGAAAACTTTTCACCTTGCACTTTCCTGTGACCTTGACCTCCCTTCTCTTTAATTTGTATTTTGCTTAATTTAAAGGAACCATTTAAGATGTTTTTATGTATGCATGTACTTATACATAATCTGTTGAGAATTTATCATCTTTTTTTAGATTTCAATTTCAATTTTAAAGAAACTGTTTAAGATATTCTCATGAAACTTCATACACTAGTTCAAATTTTCATGTTGCATTAGTAATATACACTTGGCGGGGCATTCATGTCCTATGGACATATTTCTAGTTTCTTAATGTTATTAATGAGATAGCAGGGATTTAAATTCTCATTATAAGTGAACAATACTGAGCATCGGTTTGAAGATCATTTTATAAAATACAATGGCTCTACAAATCTTCTCCTCTGTATCCTGCCTCCTGGGTTCAACTGGGCAACAACATTGTTAACACATAGACAAGTAGACAACTATAGAGAGTAGACAAGTGCAAACAACAAATACCACTTTTTAACTTCCTTAAGAATATAAATTAATGTTTAATAATATATAATTAGATTCAAGTCTTCAGTGTTTAGAGTTTATTAACTTTACATATAGGAGACATGTGAGCTTAACTTTAATATTTATTTTTCCTGTAAGTGTCTATTACTTATCAAGAAAAATACAAAAAGAAGCCTTGGAAGGTGCTAAATTCATAGTTTTTTACATCACCAAGAATAAAAGGAATACAACGTCTATAGTCCACTTCAACTTTCATCTAGACTGGACATTATATATTTTGGGATTTTAATCCCATATCAAGTGTTTCTGAAATCATGTACTGTAGGTCACTTGATTTTTGTGACACCTCATTTTCATGAGATAGTCATTAACTCGTTTTAAATGAGACAAAATTTTCATGAATTGCGGTTATTGCTCTATATAATGTCAAGAAATACTTAAATATGCGAGAATGAAATTTTTGTGAGGACACTATCTCGGGTAATTATGTGAAAATAAAGTTCTCATGAATAAAAAGTGATTTACAGTAAGTAAGCATTTCATTCTTAATTAAAATGCAAACTGTACATAATAAAGTTATATTTCCAGAAATTTCAAAGGAATGATGTCTGGGAAATTCAACAAATTATGAAAGAAAACATTGAAAACGTACTAGAGAGGGGTGAAAAACTAGACAGTTTAATTGAGAAATCAGAACTTATGGTTAGTTGATTGCATGTTTTATATGCATGTTTATTTTCTATTTGACTGTGTCTGTAAATGTAAATATGAATTTGCTGTTGTTGGGTAACACTGCATTCTTCCGAATGCACAATATTGTTGACAATGCAGAAAAATGTCCGTATATTTGATATGAAAGATTCAAAATAGTTGTTGTATTTGGACTAATGATGAGTTATTTTTTAAGGAGGCATCACCAGTCGTGATGGACATGGGTTCACTTTTGATGAAGGCGGGATTTGCTGGAGACCACGCCCCCCGAGCAGAATTTGAGACAACTGTTGGACGTCCCCGACATCAGGGCGTGATGGTTGGCATGGGACAGAAAGATTCATATGTTGGAAAAGAGGTTACAGGTTAGGAATTTTGTAACTTTAATAAAAAACCCTTTCTTGTATCAGTACATGTAATGGGAATTGAATTTAAGTTATCACTTCAGACTATTTTTATCAAAGCTTTTCTTACTTTTAAGTGTGATGTTCTACTTTCTATTGTTTATTTATCTTTCAAGTTCTTAAATAGTTCTTATTTGAGTTGAAATTTTTGCATAATATTAAAAAATAATGATTTTTACCATAATGTCTTAGGAATTCCAAAATCACCAGATTATTAGGACAAATGTACTCATGATATTATTTGCTTGATAAAGAATTCAATACATTAAATACAAAAAATGAAAAAAAGTTTTTTTTATAGGAACAAAACCTGTTGTAGGAAGAGTTTTGGAAGAGTATTCTTCAAAACATATATTTATGGAAGGTAATGCTTTATTTCTAATAAGGAAGCCTTGCTGCTAAGAACAAAATTAATATTACTAAATTAAAACTACAGAAATTGTATTTAAGAATGCCATGGTCACATTAAAATAAAAAATGCATATAAAGAAATGAGAACATATGTTCACGGGTATTTGAAAAAAAGTGTTTTTTATGACAATGACTATAAAAACTGTCACCTGAAAAAAATCATTAGCATACATTTCATAATATTTTTAAGCTTGATGTAATTTCATCACCATTAAAGCAAAGTTTAAAGGTGTTTTACACCATTTCAATAACCTATATTGTGATAAGAACAAATTAATATTACACATAGTAACGTATTTGATGTTGGCAATGATAAGATAAATGTAGCATGTATTTTAGGATATCAGTTGACATATCTCATTGAGTTTACAATAAGTTGTTTGCATGGTTATAATTAACATTAATAACCATCTATCAAAATTTTGAAATTCAAGGCTTCTTGACTTTATGGTGCAATCCCAAGTAAAGAACTAAGTTGGTCATTTGTTAAACATATGACAGGTTTGAAAATCTTGTTTCTCATTTAAATGTTGCAGAGCAAATTTAGAACACAAGCTGGATGAATGTGTTAAAAGATGAAAGCTTCAATACACAGCACTTTATTTTTCTTCTGTGTCCAGACCTGTTTCTAGTGGGATCACAATAATCTTAGCATAAGAATTCCATGATACTTGGGTGGTCTCAACCTGATCAGTAGTCTAACTTGAGTAATGGTCTTAACCATAACAGGAGTCTAATCTTAATCTGAGCAGTAGTCTTAACCTGATCAGTTGTCTAGCCTGAGTAGTTGTCTTAACCTGATCAGTTGTCTAACCTAAGTAGTTGTTTTAACCTGATCAGTTGTCTAACATGAGCATTTGTCTAATGTGAGCAGTTGTCTAACCTTAGCAGTTCTCTAACCTGAGCAGTAGTGTTATAACCTGAGCAGAGGTCCTAACCTGAGCAGTAGTCTAAGCCTGAGCTGTAGTCTTTACCTGAGCAGTTGACTAAACCTGATCAGTAGTCTTAACCGGAGCAGAAATCTTAACCTGAATAGTTGTCTAAGCCTGAGCAGTAGTCTAACCTGAGCAGTGGCCTCAGCCTGAGCAGTTGTCTTAACCTGAGCAGTAGTCATAGCCTGAGCAATAGTCTTTACATGAGCAGTTGTCTTATAACCTGAGCAGAAGCCTTAACCTGAGCAGTTGTTTTAACCTGAGCTGTAATCTAAGCTGAGAAAATCATTGATAATACTCGGGTGTCAAACAAGACCCATGAGCAACTTGTCCAAACTTCATGAAATGTATGAAAGACAAGTGTAGTAAAAATTTCAAGTCTTGAATGCATGTAAACATAGGGACTACTGGTGAAACTGTAGAATACTTTCCACATGTTTAACTCTTTTAAGTTTGTTAACATAATATTGAAATAACAAAAGACACTGTTTATAGAATGTTCCAGTCTTTTTGTTTTTAGAAGACATTGGTGAAACTTTGGAATCCCCTGAATCAGAATATGAGGGATCCTCGGAGGAAACCCCATCTAAGAGTTTGTAATTTTAGTATTATTTTTTTTACCCAGATACATTACTTAATAAGATAAAAGAAATGTAAAACTTTTTTTGTGACACTTGCATTGCACACAAATTCTATGCTAAAAAAATTTAAAATATCTTTCCTAACAGGACCTGATTTTAATTTCAATCCCGATTTTTGTTTCCCCCCAGGTCATGAGGATTGGACAAGTGAACGTATGTATTACTTTGCTTCATTACAGTAAGGTAAAAATTCAAATAGAAGTACACTGCCTACCAATTTTTGTGTAATTATACCCCACACAACAAGTTGCGGGGGTAAAATGTTTCTGACCCGTCCGTCAGTCAGTCAGTCCTGTTTTTTTGTCGGCGCAACTCCTCATAAACGGCTGCACAGAATTTCGCCAAACTTTGTAGATATTTATGACACAATGTGTAGATGTGCTTATTACCAGGAAATTCTGATTCCCTTATTTTTCTGGGAATTTTGGCACTTTTCAACTTAGATTTTTGGCCATATCTTGAATATAGAGATGGACAGTTTGTCAGTGCAACTCCTCTTAAACCGCTGCACAGAATTTTGCCAAACTTTGCAGATATTTAGTACACAATGTGCAGATGTGCATATTGTCAGGAAATTTCAATTCCATTATTTTTCTCGGAATTCCGGCATTTTTCAACTTAGATTTTTGGCCATGTCTTGTAAATAGAGATCGACAGTTTGTCAGTGCAACTCCTCTTAAACCGCTGCACAGAATTTGGTCAAACTGCAGATATTTAGTACACAATGTGTAGATATGCATATTACCAGGAAATTCCAATGCCATTATTCTTGCCCTAAGAGTTTTGTCTATTGTTGAAGAAACTTTCCAGCTAGGTAATAAGGAAATCCACTGGAATCAGCTTTTGTAATGAAATTTTATGTGAAATATTTTATGACCTTAAAAGACCCCTATTGATTTTGAGACCGAAATATTAAGGATTTAACACACACAAAAAATTTTGGAAAGTTCTCACCCCCCTCCCCCCTTTTCAAATTGGTGCTTTGCCTTAAATAATTTCACAAGTACAGTATATAAAGTTCATATGACTACATCATAATTTTGTTTCCATCAATTATTTAAATGTGTAAATTGTCATGTGTTGGACTTACACTCATTAACAAATCGAAATCACTGAGGAATTTAAATAACAGTTTGTCAGCATAACTCCAGCACTGAATTTCCTGAAACTTTGTAGGTATTTCAGACATAATGTATAGATTTGTATATTACCAAGAAATTTTGATTCCATTATTTATTTACAAACTTCGGCCCAGTTAAATTGGTAACATACAAGGATTTGAATGTCCTTATATGCAAGAAGTTTTGATGTGATGATTTTTTGCAAGTAATGCCCCTATTTGAATTATACTGTGTATTTAAAATGCACTGTGCCATTTATTACGTGTTGCATTGTCGAGTTTTGGAGGAGCTTGGGGTATGTGAGCTTGCTCACTTTTTCTTTTATTTTTTATTTGATTTAGTGGACATAAGTAAAAATCATTTATAAAGGACTTGCATATAGAGAAATACCAGTTTTCAGGAAACTTTTACAATTCCAATGGAAAACTTTCTACTCTCACCCTTAGGCTATTGTGATTTAGATACAAGACAAGTGGTCTTGGATGACTCATTCAAATCTTGTAGGTAGAACCAGTTTTATAAATAAAATTTTCAACAAACAGGAACTTGATATAGTCTTTTAAATACCATTACAAGATGTGTTTGTGAAACACCAAAGTCCCTGTGTGGTAGCAGCTCAAGCCCAAGGTTAAAGATTTTCAAATGTAGGTCAGACTCCAAAGTAAATAGTTTTAAATTGTTGGTAACCGAAGAAAAATACTGCCAAAAGGTAATTAACATGTGACAAGGACAAGGGCCCTAGCACCAATCATTAAGAAGATATGGCCAAGATTAAAGTTTAGTAAAATTTTTCAAAAGTATGCCAAACTGGTAGGTCAAAGTCAAGAGGTCAGATGTATTTGTACTCAAAGAAGGTCTTGTCACAAGAAATAAATGTGAAATATGAAAGCCCTAGCATTCACCATTCAATAGTGACGAACAAGTATAAAGTTTTTGCAAACAAACAAATTTAACAGACAGATGGACAGACCAAAAACTGTATACCTCCGTATCTTCTAGACATAAAAATGGGGAAAGGGGGGTCGAGATGAAGTTTGCTTTTGTGATAAGTTACAGCAAAGCATTGTGCTTGATAGCAACTATTTCACTCAGTCACCCCTAAACCTGTAGTATTTATAGTAACCATAATGCAAAACAATTGTATTATCTGATTTGACAGTTTATAAATCACCTTGTAACTTAGTGCGATGCCAGAAAATATAGTTTCTAATGCAAGCATGTTTGTCCAAAGAGAAAGTTTATTACATAACTGCAAAAAAATGTCAAAGAATCACTGATTAAAGAAGTTTGAATGAATTCTTGAAAGAGATTAAATACATTTCTTCTGATATTGTGAATTGGTGAAAACTGAAATGTAACATTACTTTCCTGTTTACCCTGCGTCCATATTCTAGTCACTTCCTAGCCACACTTCAATGAATGATTTACCAGTCCATTAACAGTCTCACAGTAGTCTTACTTAATTTCATCAGAGCTACTTTGAACTCTTCGGGTATTATAGTATGCGGAACACTGTAAAATAAAAGGTTCTGAACACATTTGTAGGGATGACTTTGTTCCTTGTATTGTCTGTAGAACACTGTTTATCCTCACCTGTTTTATTATATGTATGAAATATGAAAATAACGAACAGTAATCAAGCTCAAAAGTCCATTGAAACAATAAAAATTTGAAGCAGGGCAAACACGGACCTCTAAAAATATTGGAGGTGGGATCAGGTGCCATGGAGGAGTGAGCATCTCATTTTATGGAAATAAAAAATCTCGGTGTTAAGGAAAGAAGATTCCAGGTCCCAATAACTGAAAAATCCTAATCTTGCTGATTAAATAAAAATGAAGATTGACTTACCTTCATTATGGTAAAAATGTATGAGAAACATGCATATACGCACGTGCATGCACGTGCGTTATGCTTATTTAACACTATCATCTTGTGTACACCACAAAGATATGTTTGTATTCTGAGTTCAAAGCATTTGATCACAGAACAGGGAAGTTAAAGCTTTTTCAATTATACATGTACCTGCTAATAATGAAATTATACTATGTCACTTAGAAGTTCAAAGTAAAGAATAAGATAATTATGATTCAGGGATGTAACGAAGAGAATTCAGCTGTCTGAAATTACGTGTTCTATCCATTTTTTTTTTTTTTTTTTTTTTTTTTTTTTTGGTGAATTAAATATAAAAGGTTGATATATGAATTATTACTCTGATTTCCCTTATATTTCGAGTGATTTTTAACAAAGTTTTAACAACAAAATAAATTTAAGTTTAAATATTTATATAGTAAATTTACAAAGCTTTCAAATGATATATTGCTTTATTATGTTATCTCTGAAAACAGGATTTACACGCAATATAAATTCTGACAATAAGAAATTAAACCTTTGTTTTATCCTTAGATTTTCATACTTGTAGTTGCATGTCATAAGGCAATTTTCACAACAAAACTTGAGATTTACTAATCAAGTTCTTGAATAAATGTTTACTAAAAGTCTCAGAGTTATTCTAATTTTGACCAAAAAAGTCAACTAATAGCTGACAGAACACTTATAGCAACACGATCATATTTTATGTGTTTTGTTTTATATTTAGACTATATTTAGACTATGTATATGGATCAGTGGAAAGGAGGAGGGGGCATTTATTCTCATACTATCAGTTCTAATTTTGATTTTAAGAAATGATAATTTTTTTTTTATTTTTCACAGACATTTTCGTGAAAGTATTTTCAAACAGTCATTGTATCCAAACAATCACTTGATTAAAAAAAATAAAAAACTACAGTAATCTTGTATATATTTCTTGTATAAATTTGTATAATAACAAAGGATAACTAGATCTCATGAGGTGTTCGTTTTCTTCACATGCTCAGAATGGCACGAATATAATAATCAGGTTGATTATTCTGATCTTGAAGCTGAAATAGAGGAAGAGATGAGTTTTTGTCTTCCTGAAGATGGTAGGGCAAGTATGTATTTGTTACATACGTAGATCAGTTTTAAAAATTATCGAAATAATTTTCATGAATATTGAATTTTCAGGTAGTAAATTGTTTGTTTGTTTGTTTTCTTCAGTGGAATTGCCAAAGAAAAAAGCACAACAAACAGAAGTAAGTATGGATCTGAAAAAAATATACTGTAAAGGCAATACATTTGGCTGTGATTTCTCTTTAGCATCTTTGGCGGAATGCAACTGCAGCTAAATCAACTGCTGCATATTAAATGTTTTGCCACATAAGTAATCAAAATTTATCATGAGAATATACGAGAGGTTATCAAGAAGTTCGTGGACTGACGCCATAAAATTAAAACCGCTTTAGGTATATCAGTGAATTTGTTGCACATTTATTCAACACCATACAGAATAAACTGTAAGAAACACGGTTTATATTTGAATAAATTGTAAATGTTTCCAATAGCAATGGTATGACCACACGACGCAACCTCAAAAACGTTTTTCATTTTTAGTGAGTATAAAGGAAACAATTTTATAAATTCTCAAACATGTGCATTTGTCATCCAATAATCAGTTAAATTCACTTGTGTGATGTACCATAACTGTTACAATTTACAATTTTTACCTCATTTCGGCAGTTCTGAAAAACCTTTTAGTAAATTAATAAGGGGTGCTAAAATTTAGCGGTTTAAAAAAGACGCCGGAAAAGGGGGGGGGGGGATTTCCGCCGCATTATATAGTTCCAATTTAAAAAAAAAACCAACTCACATAGACTTAAGAAATATCAGAACAGGCATGAAGGAGACAAAACTAGTCCACATTACACATTTTTAGCTCACCTGAGCTCAAACTCAAGTGAGCTTTTCTGATTACCGTCGT